TTTGGTCCCATTCTAATTAGAAATTCTGGATGAATACCGTGTTCGCCAGGAGACTTCTAGCACTTAAACTGTTTTAGCGCAGAATTAAGTTCGTAAGGTCTGAATGGTCCAGCGTACATTATTTGGTGTTACTATGTCTTCCTTAATTTCACCCGACATCATTTGGTGTTGCGTCTTCCTTAATTTCACCAAACTTTTGGTGTTGCGTCTTCCTTAATTTCACAAAACTGTCTTACAAGAAGCCTTTAAATCTCTTGAAGATTTTCTGACAAAAGGGTTTTCTAGAAATCTCTTGAAGATTTTCTGACAAAAGGGTTTTTCATTTGCTTGTGGGAATAGAACCTCTCAAAGCAGTTAGCTATTTCGGTGTAGGTGGTAAGCAATTAGCTGATTAAGCGTATTGGTTCTTTCTTGGGTCCAGCAATTTGATTTTAAGCATATTGATTCTTTCTTGGGTCTTACAATTTGCTGTTTAAGCGTATTGGTTCTTTCTTGGGTCTCCCAGGTTGGCCATCACTTTGGTAGTTGATATTTGAGATGAACTTTTCTATCACTTTGATAGTTGATATTTGAGATGAACTTGTCGATGTTGTTTTGGAGGTTTCTCAGAAATTTGAAAGTGCGTTGGTCATCACTTTGATAGAGATGAACTTGTCGAAGGAAGTTCGTTTAGCTTGTAAGATTGTGTCGAAGGAAGTCCGTTTAGCTTGTAAGATGGCTTGCCTAAGGACTGCTGTGTCTCCAGGCTTGTATGTCTTCCGTTCTTCCAGTCTGATCTCTTTGTTGCGAAGGGCGTCCCACTTTCTTTTCAGTTCCTCAAGGTGCGGCGTCCCGCTTTCTTTTCAGTTCCTCAAGGTGTTTTGACTCCGTTCTTCCAGTCAGATCAGCAGTGTTGCGAAGGGCGTTTGTTCTTCCAGTCTGATCAGCAGTGTTGCGAAGGGCGTCGCGCTTCCAGTCTGATCAGCAGTGTTGCAAAGAGCGTCCCTCCCAGTCTGATCAGCAGTGTTGCGAAGGGCGTCCCTCTTACACTGATCAGCAGTGTTGCGAAGGGCGTCCCGCTTTCTTTTAGCTTCCTCAAGGTGTTTGGACCAAAACACTCGATAGTGTTTATGTGTTTAGACCAAAACACTCGATAGTGTTTAGTCTTGCCTATGGGTAATGTGAAGGGCGTCCCGCTTTCTTTTCAGTTCCTCAAGTTGTTCAAGGGCGTCCCGCTTTCTTTTCAGTTTCTCAAGGTGTTCACAGGGCGTCCCGATTTCTTTTCAGTTCCTCAAGGTGTCTAGAACGTCCCGCTTTCTTTTCAGTTCCTCAAGGTGTTTAGACTATAACACTCGATAATGTTTAGTTTTGCCTCGGGGAATAGTTTCTTTGCACATCTGATCATAATATTTGTGATATCTTTGCAAAGTTTATCAGGATGTTGTTTGAAGTTGAGGGGACTTGTGTGAAGTT